ATAATGCAGAGAATTCGTAGTTTGGAAGTTAGGAGGAGGTGCGGGATTACCAAAACTGTTGTCCAGAGGGCTGAGGAAGGGTTGTTGAGGTGGTTCGGACATGTGGAGAGAATGGAGCGAAACAGAATAACTTCAAGAGTGTATCAGTCTGTAGTGGAAGGAAGGCGGGGTAGGGGTCGGCCTAGGAAAGGTTGGAGGGAGGGGGTAAAGGAGGTTTTGTGTGCGAGGGGCTTGGACTTGCAGCTGGCATGCGTGAGCGTGTTTGATAGGAGTGAATGGAGACAAATGGTTTTTAATACTTGACATGCTGTTGGAGTGTGAGCAAAGTAACATTTATGAAGGGGTTCAGGGAAACCGGCAGGCCGGACTTGAGTCCTGGAGATGGGAAGTACAGTGCCTGCACTCTGAAGGAGGGGTGTTAATGTTGCAGTTTAAAAACTGTAGTGTAAAGCACCCTTCTGGAAAGACAGTGATGGAGTGAATGATGGTGAAAGTTTTTCTTTTTCGGGCCACCCTGCCTTGGTGGGAATCGGCCAGTGTGATAATAAAAAAAACAATAATTTTAAATGTAAAACAAGAAAGAATATCTAAATTTTTTTACATACTTTCAAATGTTGAAAAAACGTATATATATGCATTTGGATCATTTAAGGGTTAAAGTGCAAGCATTGTACTTCCATTTCCAGGACTCAAGTCTGGCTAACTGGTTTCCATGAACCCCTTCCCTGCTCACACTCCAACAGGTCGTCAGGTCCCAAAAACCATTCGTCTCCATTCACTCCTAACACGCTCACGCACGCTTGCTGAAAGTCCAAGCCCCTTGCCCACAAAACCTCATTTACCCCCTCCCTCTAACCCTTTTAGGGACGACACCTACCCGGCCTTCCTTTCCCTACAGATTTATACGCTCTCCAAGTCATTTTACTTTGTTCCATTCTCTATAAATGACCAAATATCCTCACATTTTTGTGGTGGAGAACCAGCTGAATCACAGGCAGGCAAGGGTCTCTAAAAGTGAGAGTTTACGACTAGCGAACAGAGGCATGCACAACCTAAATACTTGAAACACAACCACCACCACCACCACCAGTACAGCCACCACTGCCATCACTGTCACCTTTACAACTTCTTGAAAGCACCATTACCACCACCTACCTTACTGTTTGTCACATTTATCTTTAATTATAATGAACATAAGCACTGTAATTTGATCATCAAGAGTGCTATCTTTTATTATTTGGTAACTGATAACAGCTTTAAGCAGATTATAAATGTGCATTTGAAATTATCTCAACAATCGGCATGCAAAAGAAAACTCAAACATGGCCTAAGGATATTCACACATATAAGAAAGCATGAGTGATCTGTGATAAACATGTTTTACCCCTTCAAGTTCCAAGCCTTGATCTGATTATTCCATTCAAGACTGACATACCTGTAGGTTATTTTGGAGTGAACTCTAGCCATAGATGACAATGTTTATTACTCTCATAAAATACCGTCTTAAGCCTGGATATTTTAGGTACAAAAAGTGATTACTAACCTCCTCCTCATATCCATTCCTCATTACTGTCATCCTACCTTCTTCTCATCCCTCCTCCTTCCTCTCCTTTTCTGATTTATCTACCTTTTTCCTCCTTTCACCTTAAAACAGTTCTCATTCATTAAACCATACCACGGGCAGGATTTGAACCCGCGGGTTCAAATCCCGCCCGTGGTATGGTTTGTTTGCAATCGTGTCATTACGATTTCGTGAGTCTCATTCATTAAATAAATATGTGTAGAATGCCTGTAGGCAATTCCATGCATCACTGTCCTAGTGGCTCAGTAACAGACCAGACCATCCAGTTGATGGACTGATTAATCACACTGTTGGCACTTACTATATGCAATCTAATGCAGGTACCACATCCCAGCTATCAGGAATTGACAAGAGAAACTTATCAAGTTTCCTCTAGTCAGGGGTCTGTTGGTAATTTCCCTTTTACTATATGAAAGATGTTGAAAAGTCTTGGTCCCTTACACTTATTATTTCTTAGTGTACTCATTGCCACCCTGCTTTCAGTAGGGGTTATTGCATCATCTGCCAAGTCTCTTGCTTTTGTAAAGTGATTTCAGTGTGCAGATTTGGGACCAGTTCCTTCAGAATCTCCAGGATATAAATTATGATGCATCTTTCTTGTCTATGTTACAGGGGTTGCAGTTTAAGAGACTGAGTGCTCCCAATAACTTAGGTGCTTGACTGAATTCATAAGGGTACTGAAGGTTCTCTGTACTTTTTCCATTACGGTGATTTTGCCTGTTTCAAAAGGAGGCTGTTTATGTACAGCAATATTCCAATGTACAGAGAACAAGCAGAGTTAGCTTTAAGTAAAAATAAAACTTCTTATGCATTTAATAAGTAAGACTGTGGTATATGCAGCATCACCAGCAAACCTCAAACCTCCACATCCCTCCATTGCCACAACTTTTCCCTCCTGCCTCGTACCGTATTAAGTCAAACTACAAAATGAATATTTTTATCCCAACAGTACATATAGTAGCATGCTAATTTTACTAATATGAATTTTTTCATATATAAAATTATTCATTCATATTTTTAAATTTAATACTATCAGCTTTTATGTACGTACTACAAGGATTTTGGGAGGGTACTGAGAACTTTTTAGTTACCCACCAAAATTAAGTAGTATCCATTTATGAGCAGGAATGAAGAGGCACTGACAGCAGAGGGTCTACTCTACTACATTTCATATGATAGCTGTTTGGAATCAAGTACAGTAAAGCTCAGAAAGAAATACAAAATATTCTTGGGAAATACAGCAGATTTGGAAATGTGATTTATGTGGTAAACTGAAATACTGTATCACTATCAAAGTTCTAAAGAAAAATAATGAAGAAAAATTTATGTGAATTCCACTGCAAGTCAGAAAAAAAATATTTATCCCATGTAGTTATAAACCATAATGAGAATGCTGTAGAAATACAAAAAAAAAAAAAATACTGGAAATCTTTGCACTCAGGTTTGCATAATAGACACAAGTATAATACATAAAGGCAACTAACTACCTTTCCATCAAAAATTCACAAAGAAACAACAAACTGTAGTTACACATATTAAGTAATTTTTTATCTTCAATATGAATGCTACAAACCCTTTTTTATTTTTAAAACTTTATACTATTATGAAACAGCTGACGTGTTATAAAAAAAATTATGATACATATGTATTGCTTCAGCTGCAGAAACATTATAATTTTTTTCAAAATACTGGCCGTCTCCCACCGAGGCAGGGTGACCTGAAGAAGAAATGAAAGTTTTTCCTTCTCCTTACATTTAGTAATTTATACAGGAGGAGTTAAAACATCATGTTTGCTATAAATTACACTAGACTGTTAAATTTGCCTGTAACAACATATGAGTACAGAGATAAAATTACAGGTATAATAAACATTTTGAAAGTGCTAAAGTGCTACAGCACTTCTGACAAAACATTTTCCATTTACATTAGACAAATAATTCACCAGCCAGGTAGTAGTTAAGAAACAATGTTCAATTAGAGATTCGCTATTAACCTGCAAACTTGTAAGAAACTTTATATGATGTTTCTGTCCATCCTGGACGAAAACGATGTTAAAGGTTCCAACAGTGTGTTAATGGTGAACTGCTTCAGCGACAGTCGTGTGACTTGCATTTTTCAATTAGAGATCTTGGACTACCTGGCTAGCTTCCATGTACTATATCATAATAAAAATATAGATATCTACACTCCAAAAAGATTATAAAAGCCTAAAAAAGTTTTCAGATTAAAACAGTATAGACTATCACTACCACAACAATGTTTATATTATGATTTTCAATTAAACTGCAATTGAACGAAGACACTGTATACCCGAGGTTGAGAAATTGGCTTACTACAATCCTGCATTAGTTTTTAACACATCAGCCATGTCACTTGTTACACAACCAGTTTTATTGGCAATATTAAAGTCTCTGTTTCTTAGGTTAAAAAATGAGTTGTGCACCTTTACAATGCCAGGAGTGGCATCCTCCCAAGGTTTTCAAAATTATCAGCTATGCTTGGGATTTACACTATACAAGATTTCTTTAGAAGTCCTTATTTGTCCAATTTAAAAATCAAAATAGCTTTTATTATTTAAAAAAATATGCACTACTACACAGCATAAGGAAAGTAGTACTATAATAAAATGCAATGAAACTTCATAAAAAATATTCATTCAGTAGTTTCTTGATGAGTATTACCATAACTTTAAGCTTTTTTGAATAACTATGATGCACAGCACCTCTTAAATTTTCCTACAGATTACAAGATTATTATTTCCAAGTAAATCTATAATATGACTACAGAATATTACTGTTTTATTCTTTCAGTATCACGATATAATGTCATTAGTACTTCTGAGCTCATTGCTCTACCAATAACTGGTATAGCTTAAGCATTAATTAAGAATATCACTTTAAAATTTATGAATATTATTCAAAGAACTTTTATTAAATATGAGTAGGGAAATGTGTTTTCCCTTAGTGGAAGGCAAGTTTATTTAAAAAAGGCAAGACTTCATTTAAAAATGTTGTTAAGCTTATCAATAGCGAAATCATTATGAAGCGAATGGTCTGTGCAACCATGTCAATACAATGTGGTTGCCTATTTTGTCTGAAACAATTCAAATCAATTGACAATCAAAATTTGTCTGGTTGTCATACAAAAGAGAATACTCTACTGTATTTTCTAATTACCATTTGAGGCTCAAAATCTCTTATATAGAAGCACACCATCACTAATCAGAAAATATGTTAAAATTTAGTGTAAAGAACTAGCATTAGAATAATAATTGACAAATTGTATAAAATGAAATGATTAAAATGAAGGTATGGATGTAATTCCAAGACAAAATAAAAAAAAAGGTTATATGGTACAATTTTTTAGTCATACCTTTCATCTGTGAAATACACATAGTACCCATTACCAAAAAACTAACCTTATAATTTGACCCATCATCAAAGGATGAGGAGTCCCTCTTAAGGATCGATCTCTTCGGCTCATCTGGCACCAGAAGATCGTCTCGGCAGTGATCTCTGAAACGCGTCTCAGGAAGACGGGTATTTCGTGTCTTATTAACAATAACGGCAGTTCCAGCTTGGTCAACATTATGCTCTAGTCCAAAGAATGCAGCACACCGATGGACAAGCATTCGTTGGTAAGAAGACATTGGAGGAAATTTATGGTGGGTTCGTCTGATAGAAGAAATACAAACATGTTTATCATCTAAGTAAAAATAGAGAATTAACTTGAAAAAATATTTTATGCTATAACTTTGTCTTATATCAAGTCTCACAAAAAACTTTAATTTTACATAATGTTACTTACAAACACTTGTGAGCTATTAATTTATCTTTCGGAAATTTACTTATCACCCATTGTTTTCCATGGTTTCCCCACACAATTATATAACAATAAAGTAAGTTATGTGCTTCTGAATAACAGCAATTTATACTTCTGGCAAAAAAAAAAAAAAAAAAAAAAAAAAAAAAAAAAGATTGGATAATATTAAAAGAAGAAAAAATGAAGCCAACTTACTTGGTATCCTTAACAAGGCTGACTAGTTCATGTTCAATCTTAAGTAGCATCATACGGTCTTTTTGGTTCTTGTGTAAAGTTTGAATTATGAACTGCTGTAAATCTACCCCACTACTGTCTGTATACTCCATTGATGAGTCTGATAAAGGTATTACATTATATTAAAAAGATATTGCATAAACAAAGTAACTTTCAAAATTGAGATTACTGCATTACACTTAACATTTACTCAATTAATAATTCATCACTAAAATGGTTTACCTGCAAAACAGATTTTAGCATTAGAAACTGGCACAAAATGATAAGTAATTGGTAATCCTATGAACAATAATTATCAAACTGTAAACACACTGATAGTAGAGCAGTTAATACTTCATTTGCAATGTAATGAATTATATTGAAATATAATTTACATAATCCAATATAAAAAGAATTTATACATACAAAGAGCTTTGAATTATTCAAATAATAGTAGGCTAAGACATATGTACTGATTACTATATTTATTAAAAAGAATTTTACTGTAAGTGGTTTCTTCAGTTCTTAATGTCTTGATCAGCATACATGTGTTTTCTACCCAAAATTTGTTAGTATCACCTACGTAATATTTTCCTAGACTACTTACACAATTAACAGCCAAGATATACACAATATGGAAATCGCTGTAGGAAAATGTCAAAGAAACAAAACGTTGTACAGAACTTTTTACCCCTAAATTTTTTTCTTGTAGAATCAAAATTTGTAAACATTTTGAGGTTTTTGACTAACCTCTAGAGAGACAAGGAGAGGAGCCATCAAATGATCCTTGTGAAGATCCTTGATGCTTAAGTCTCCTACGGCCTCCACCGCCTGATGATACTGTGAGGGTGTTTCCACCACTGTTGGTGTTGCAGTGCGAGGAAGGTGCAGCAGACTCCAGCAGTTCTGGTGGAGGAGAGGAGTCCTCTTGCATGGCATGACTTCGTTGCAAGAGTTTAGCCTTTCCCCCATGGTGCTAAAAATAAAGAAAATAAAGTTTTATGGTACCAATAATTTAATTACAAAGTACTGTAACTAAATCAAAGCTCATTATCTAATTAGTGCCCAAATAATTATAATAATAAAAATATAATCAGCAAAATAAATTATAGGCACTACAGTGGCCACAAAAAAAATCTATACATTTCCAAAGCAAAAAAAAAATCTATACACTAGATTCTGGTGTATGCATTTCACTTGAATTCCCACCATAAGAAAAGTGGCCAGAGCTTTTGATGGCTTAGTGTACTGGAGACCGTCTTGTTCCAACGTTCCCCACCACCCCACATTTCAGTTCTCTTCCAGAGCTCGATGATGAAAGAGGAGTGTTGCGCTGTTACTCACTGCTCATTTTGTCCCTCGACCACGAACTTTGCCATGCTATAACTCTGCTCCAAATCGTCAGAATGGGTCGAACTAAGCTTTCAATTGTAGAGAATACTCGTGCATTCACCATCCTAGTCACCAGAATTGCCATCCTAGTCACCAGAAGGTGACTAGGATGGCAATTTACAACCTCAAGAAAACAGCTGCCTCACTCCCACCTGACACCATACCACCTAGGAAAGTGGGGTCTGGGGCCTCCAAAAAAGACTTCTCTTTGCACAGACAAGATCCTGAAGAGGGAAGTGTTATCAGCGCCTGCCATAACAGGCGCAGACCTCAAGAAAAAGCATCCTGCACTCCCGAAAGACATCACAGTGCAAACCATTCAGCACCGACTGCAAAAGGACCTGAAAATGCCTGCTCGACGTGCTGCCAAGAAGCCCATGCTAACTGAAGCCATGAAGAAGAAACGGCTTCAGTTCTGCAAGTGGTACGAGGACTGGACCTCAGACCAGTGGCAGAAGGTGATGTTCAGCGAAGAGAGTGCCTTCAGGCTCGTCAGGAGCGGCTCTAAGACCGTCCGTCTTCCCAAGTGGTGTGTCCCATGATGACCCGCAGTATGCCATGAAGAGAGAAGCACCCTGACAGTGTTATGGTTTGGGGTGCTTTTAGTGGTTATAAGGGCAGAGGTGGACTGTACTTTCTTCCTAAGAACATTACTATGAAGGGAATTAATTATATCAAGGTGTTAAGGGACCACATGTTGACATTTTGGATCATTCACAAATGTGTTTTTTTTATGCATGATGGTGCCCCTGCCCATAAGTCAAAAGCAGTGAAAAAGTTCCTCAAGGACAATAATATCAGTGTTTTGGAGTGGCCAGGCAATTCTCCTGACCTAAATCCTATCGAGAATGCCTGGTATGTGATGAAAAATGAGATTGCAAAAGTTCGACCCACCAATATCACGGACCTGAAGGAGGCACTGAAGAAGCTTTGGATCTATGTGGACGCCTCCTTCTTCTCCACCCTCGCCACTTCGATGCCCAGGTGACTTCAGATGGTGATAAAGAACAAGGGTAACATGAACAAGTACTAATTGGAAGCTAAAAAGTGAAAATAAAATTCAAGTACACACATTTTGTTGCATTTTTTCGTTTTATTGTCCAAAAATTGTTCATGTATGGATTTTTTTTGCCGCCACTGTACAGTACACTAGTTGACATCTATCACTCATGGAAAGCAGATTATAGGTACTTTCACTAGCATGCACTCTTCTTTCCTTAGCTACATTCACATTCCATAATCACTTAGTTCTCAAACATTTCATTTTCTTCAATGGTGATTTTCAGTCAATTCTATTTTCACATTTATTTATTATTCTTCATATCCCAATGGCTTTGTTCTCATAACAACCAAACTAATAATATTTCGTCAAATGTTTCAAATGCTTCGTGAAAAATCTTAAACACTTGATGGATCTGAACTCAATGAAGTTAATCTCATACAGAAGTTATTATTATGGGAAAGCTTTAAACCCATAAGGGTCATTCAGCACCAGGGAAATGGGAGCAATTGGGTTTCATCCGAGGATTGGGATGGTAGCTCCATTTCCTCAGATAAAGATCAAGGATCAGAAATTATCTAATTGTTTCAAAATGAAGAACTTGTAAATATAAATAAAACTGCTATTGCTTTGGGTTGCTAATACTTTTTATGCATTATAGTATTAAATAGATGTATAAGCTATTATTATTTTCATTAAAAATCAAGCATTAAATTTGTATGGGACATCTTCCAATTGTAAAGATGAAGTAATATGTATTCACAGCATGCTGAGGGTAGATCCAATCCCTTGGATCAAGAGTCATTCACAAGTATGAAGACACATCTTCCCTAACCTCCCCTTAGAAAAAATGAGATTTGAAAGTAACTCACCCTATGTCTGGCTGAGGTAACTAGTGGAGCTTCTTTGTCTGAGTCTGTTGAGCGTTGTTGGTGTAGCTCCAAGGACTTGGAGCGTCCCTGACCCTGGGCCGAATGCCCCTGGCTGCCATGATTTGGCCCAGCATGATTCGATCCACCATGACCCAACCCACCATGGCCCACCTGAGTGTTCAGCCCTCCACCTCCCCCACCATCTCCTCCACCTCCTCCTCCAGGCCCTGGACCATGTGGTGGGCCACTTTGGTGGTGTGTGAAATTAGCTGAAGGTGATGATGGAGACACTCCGCGTGCACCAGGTGGAGTGGGTGGTGGAGTGTGAGGGTGTGGATGTGTAGGTGGTGTGTCCGGCAGCAAATCTCCACCATCATCCACACCCTCATCACAGTCATCATCCAACAGAGAAACCTGGAATAACATTCATATTAATAAATACAGAGCATCAAGTTTAAATGATATGATCATATACTGAACAGATGCCTTCATACAGTCATAAAACAAACAAAAAACTTAACAGTCTACCATGAAAAAAATAAATCCTAGACATGTTAGAGAATTAATTTAAATTTCTCATCTCTGTGACACTCTGGATGATGTGTGCATTGTTCACTGATCAGGTTCATGTGGTCTGGATGACTTATTAAACGGACACTGCCTTGTCCTTACTTTGGGAAAGCTCAGTAAGCTCCAAGCCTCTGCCTTGTCCTTACTTTGGCGAAAGCTCAGTAAGCTCCAAGCCTCCGAACCTTTAACATTGCATTGCATAATATTAATTTCTTTCAGAAAATTACTGTATCTTGGTAGATTTACTGTACATTACAGAACATATGATGAGCTTATTGCTAAAAGAAAAACGTAGCTATCTTATAAGCACAAACCACCCCAAAAATTAAAAAAAAAATGAAAATAACGAAAAGAGTATTTCAAGGGCATCAACACGTAACATTGTTATATTAATGGTATACAATACCAGCAAGTAAATAAGAATCGCAATGATTTGGTCTCTTTCAGTGCTGACCAGACCTAACAATCTCCAATATGTATTACTGCTGATACAGCAAATAAAAGGCCATAAAATTTGAAATTTCCATCCAGAAGAAGCAAAACGTTTCCTGTCACCTGTTTCAAAAATATTGTTAAAAGGCACCTCATTAATCTGCCAGAGCCCACATTTGGCCGAGTGGAGAAGATATTACGTACTTTGATGCAGAGTGTGAAGGTTCGAATCCAATCCTGCTGTGGACTGAGATAATATTTGTAAATAATTTCGCCTGTCTGCGAACTGTGACGCGATATATATATATATATATATATATATATATATATATATATATAATATATATATATATATATATATATATATATATATATTATATATATATATATGTCGTGCCGAATAGGTAAAACTGGTCAATTAGCAAGAACTCATTTAAAATAAAGTCATTTCTAAAATTTTCTCTTATACATTTAAAGATATATTTTTTTCATTTATGTTAATATAAAAATTAATAATTTTGTACCAGAAAGAATCTTAGGAAACTTACCTAACCTTATTATAACAAGAGCAATTTAATTTAGCTTAATCCAACTAGATATATTTTTTTCGCTAGATTCAGAATATTTTGCGAAATTATTGCATACACAAATTTTCATTTGCCCTATTCGGCAAGAAGTGCATTGCTATTTAAGCCAAAATAGCAAGTTTTACTTATTCGGCACGACATATAAACTGTAGCAGCGGTGAAAAACAACTCCAGAGAAACAGAAGGCCAGTACAGACTCCTAAATACCGTATGAACCAATCACAATATACCAAAAGGAACGGAAGACAGACCTAAAAGCTTAAATGCCAGCTGAACCGCTCAGAATAACATCAATTAACGAATACAGAAGAATGCCACCAACGAAGCTCAAGGACACGTGCTGCACACTAAGAGGAAAACTCAGTAGCACTGAGTGAAACTTGGCAACGAGTGACCGTAGACTTAATCACCATCACATGTTTTCCTGGCACACCGTCCACTAGCATAAAACTGTGACGAGATATACAGGTATTAGCAGCCATCGATGGTAAGAGAATGATAATTTTAAGAGGAAGAGCGGGGAGGGGATTCCTTTCATCGACGTTCGTTAATTTCCAGGTCCCCTGGTAGCATATTAATATGAAATTATTCAAAGATAAATATATTTTGTGTCTTCTTTACATCACACAGTAATCAACTACTAAAACGTAAATTTTATATAAAGATGGCCATCACACTGACGAATATATATATAATCTAAGAATGTCGATCACAATGATATTTTACCTAAAGATGTTAATCACACTGACTTCTATTAATTAAAGATGTCCATTAACCTGACGGATATTTTACCCCAAAAATGTCTGTCAGGCAGATATATATTTTACGTAACGATCTCTATAGACTACACCTCTGTATCTTATCTACAAATTCCAAAAGATGTGTATGAGAGGGCTATATGCTACACTACACATATTAAATATAGCATATCTAAGTAAACACTATTAGAGGTCATTACAAGGCACAACTATTCTGTAACTATTTATAACCTATGAATTTTAAATACTTGAATTCACTTCATTAATATATATTATATATATATATATATATATATATATATATATATATATATATATATATATATATATATATATATATATATATATATATATATATGGAAGTACCACCTCTATGGCTGGACTGGGGACCCTCATCCTCAGAGAAGACAATAAACGTACCTCAGGGAAAACTCAAGGTTCTCCCCGGAGCTGTTTGAATATTTTATTCTCCTACCACCCCCTATATTTGATATTCTATGTGAACATTTATTAATAAACAGAGTACATTTGCAAAAAAACATAAACATGAATACAATGGCACAATGTATCAAAGATCATGAATTTCCTCCAGCTTCTCCGAGGCTGGACGCGAGCCAAGCATGCAGCAAGCATTTCCCTTCTGGATACCTGGAGGTTATTCCGGGGATCAACGCCCCCGCGGCCCGGTCCATGACCAGGCCTCCCGATGGATCAGGGCCTGATCAACTAGGCTGTTACTGCTGGCCGCACGCAGTCCAACGTACGAGCCACATCCCGGCTGATCCGGCACTGACTTTAGGTATCTGTCCAGCTCTCTCTTGAAGGCAGCCAGGGGTTTATTGGCAATTCCCCTAATGCTTGATGGGAGGCTGTTGAACAGTCATGGGCCCCAGACACTTATGGTGTTTTCCCTTAGTGTACCAATGGCGCCCCTACTTTTAATTGGGGGCATTTTGCATCGTCTGCCCAGTCTTTTACTTTCGTAGGGAGTGATTTCTGTGTGCAGATTTGGGACCATTCCTTCCAAGATTTTCCAAGTGTAGATTATGATATATCTCTCCCTCCTGCGTTCCAACGAGTACAAGTCAAGTGCTTCGAAGCGTTCCTAGTAGTTAAGGTGCTTGACAGAACTTATACGTGCAGTAAAGGATCTCTGTACACTCTCTAGATCTGCACTTTCACCTGCTTTGAATGGAGATGTTAATGTACAGCAGTATTCCAGCCAAGAGAGAACAAGTGATTTGAAAAAAGATCATCATGGGCTAGGCATCTCTCGTTTTGAACGTTCTCATTATCCATCCTATCATTTTCTTTGCACGTGCGATCGTGGCACTGTTGTGATCCTTGAAAGAGAGATCCTCAGACATTACTACTCCCAGGTCCCTTACATTATTTTTCCGCTCTATTGTATGGCCAGAGTCTGTAGTATACTCTGTTCTAGTTATTATCTCCTCCAGTTTTCCATAACGGAGTAGTTGAAATTTGTCCTCATTGAACATCATATTGTTTACCGTTGCCCACTGGAAAACTTTGTTTATATCTTCTTGGAGGTTAACCGCGTCCTCAGCAGATGACAGCCTCATGCAGATTCTAGTATCATCCGCAAAGGATGATACGGTGCTGTGATGTATATCTCTGTCTATGTCTAATATGAGGATGAGGAATAAGATGGGGGCGAGTACTGTGCCTTGTGGAACAGAGCTCTTCACTATGGCAGCCTCCGATTTAACTCTGTTGACCACTACTCTTTGTGTTCGATTTGTTAGGAAGTTGAAGATCCATCTCCCCACTTTCCCAGTTATTCCTTTAGCACGTATTTTATGGGCTATTACGCCATGAACGCATTTGTCAAATGCTTTTGCAAAATCTGTGTGGATGGCTACGCTGAGGCGCTGGAACATGAAAGTGGCTTCCCTTGGGTCCCTGGTGGTGTCGATGAGTCTGGAACCCAATTCTTTAAGGAAACATGTAGCATTTTTTCCCCATGATCCCAAGGTCTCTGATCCCACTGGGACAAATTGATACTGTTGGCTTATGTCCCTGTACTTGCTGATCTTGTACTCCTCCCTGTGGTCAGCAGCTCCTCCCTGTCGCCCCACAATTTGATGGATATAGGTGTCAGCCAGTGTGGACACACAGGTATAGTCCCATGCTAAGAGCTTGCCATTCTTCCAAGAACAGACGGTGATCCCGTCGGGGTGGTTTGCTGGGTTGTGGGTATTGTTGGCTGCTAGTGATCGGGGCTTCCTCTCGGCTGGGCATCCAGCTGTAGCAAGGGTTCTCTTAATGATGTCGTTGACCTCATTGTGTCTTGCATGCCAGCCCTTGGTTTTGGAACAGTTAAGACCATGTAGACTGTATTAGTCTGCTTGCGCTTCGCCGCAAATACACGTATATTCTGTGTGAATTGGGGCAGCAAGGCACAGAGCCACTACAATACGGAGGGTCTTAGGGTCGAGTCGCGTTCCCATTGCCGATATGGGAACTATTTGGAGGAAGTCCCCGGAGTGAGGTGCGCTCACAGCCTGGAGACGGGCAATCTCCCTATCTGATGTTGCAGCCCTGAGCATGCTGGCAAGCACCTTTTCAGCGATCGGGCCATCCCAGCTTGACTGTTTGTGAGCCAGTGCTGCACTAGGGTTTGGTGCTGGAGCAGCAAGTCTCCCATTCAGTGATGGCACTGGCATAGCTAGGGTCTTCTATTCCTGCTGAGTCACTGAGGGTATCAGGAAGAATTTGTCTTATCAACTCGTTTGATGCTATGGAAGAGGATAGGAAAGCAGGTAGAGCAATCTGGGAGGATCTGCGTACTCCTAGCCCTCCAAGCGTGACCGGAAGTGAGGCTTGCAACCACTGTCCATCTTCAAGGGAAAGATTCAATACACTCTCTAGCATGGTCTTAAGGAGAGAGTCATATTCCTTGAGTTTTGGACTACTGAAGGCTGGGGAGCATCTCAGAAAGTAGGTAAGTTTTGGGATTGGCAGGCACCTGGTGAGTAGGTAGAAGGCATCGTGTGTGTCAATGTCTTTCATCCTTCTTTCCATCGTCCGGAGGTCTGAGACTTTT